TCGCGGAAGAGCCCACGAGTGGAGGCTCGGCTGTGTGCGTAGCTTGCTCTGCGGTCTGTAAGCTAGCATGTATGAGAAGACGCTCACAGACAGTCCAGGTACTGACGGTGCAACGTGCTCGTAGCGATCTTTAGTACGGAGAAACTCTTCTTTAGAAGGAAATGCAGGCTGCCCGGTGTGACAGAGAGCAGTCAGCGACAGGAAGCTTTGTTCTGAGGAGGGCCTTTCCTGGAAGGATTCTGGTGTATTTGCCCAGCCTAATTTTACATCAGACTCCTCTGATTGAAGTCTCACTTTATCACTCTCCAAGCTAAGCACAACCTGGTTTAGCACAAATGGTGTAGCAGGCCCTGCTGTGTTTCGGTGCCACGCTTAACCCCCTCCCCGTAGCCTCTTGGTATCAAACTCATGTTTTCTGCTCCCCGCAGTGAGACAGACATTTAGGTCCAAAGCCAAGCTCTTTCAGTTTTGTAAAGGTGAACAGCTTTAAGATCAAAACCTCCAAAAACTACAAGCAGTGTTTCCTGACATCTTTTAAGTTCAAAATAAGTACAGACACCAAAATCTTAACAACATCGCCCTAACTACCTCCAGGAATGGCTGCAGAATTTCTCATGGTTGCTCCATTAGCTTTCTTTTCTTCACTGTGAAACATCAGCAAGACACCGTTTCTGGAACACTTTATTATCTTCCTAGAAACAAAAAAACCAGTGTAAACTCGGTAAGTAACTTCTAGCTTGCATGGTTTCTCTTTGAGGGTCCTAAAGAATTAGTTGCCTGGAGGGAAAGAAACACCAGCAACAGGTATCTATCTGTAACAGTGCTGCATCTAAAACGAGGTACAGCAGATGAGAATTTTACTGCTTTGAAACACCTTTTTCAAGGGTGAATGTGTATTTTAGAAAACATTCTTGAGCACTGTTACCTGATGATTCGTATTAGTATTGTGAACAAGAGCTTTTGTTAAAAAGAACACCCTATTTTTGGATGTTTCTAAAATAAAATCAATACAAATGATTTATCTTCCTCGGTCGTTTTGATTTTAAGGCGGCCATCACAGACCTTCCGCCTTGTCCGGTGATGGCTCGGCCTCTTTGAGGGCACGTGGTGGTGCTGAACGCTCCTTGGCAGTCGGAGCAGGCAATCCGGTTCCCTCACACCTCGGGGAGAGCACCGAGGGCATATCCCTGTAGCAGCATGGCTTTTGACTGTGGCTCCATCTTAAAAGGTTGTAATGCTTTTTTTATTGCTGTGCGAGATTAAGAGGGAACAGTCTGAGCTTAGCGAAGCTGGAGCAGTGTCACAGAATACGACCAGATTGGGGCGCTGGATTTATGCCTTATGTTAGTCCTTGCTTTGCCCTGGGAAATGAAGAGTTGCCTGTTGGAGCCTGCCTTCATGCAGGGAAGGGAAGGCAAGCGACTCGTTCAAGACCAAGCCGGTACTGGCATCAAAGGGTACTGGATCTCCTGCGTTCACCTGCCCTCCATCCCGCTCCAGCCAGCCGCCAACACTCGCCTGAGGTGGAGCCTGAGAAGGTGACACCTCTGAACCCAAAGGAAGGGGCCAGGCACCGCCTCTGCCGACAGCAACTGCACCCAGAGCTGAAGGCAGAAAACATCCACTTTTGTATCACCGTTACTCTGATGAGCTGAAAAATAAGTGAAAAATGCAACTGGGGCTTAATTGATGAGAAAAACTGCGCCTTCCCTCGCCCCCACTAGGGATGTGATTCTTGAACCTTCTGTGCCAGTGTGTCGACTCCTTCGTTTGCGGGTTTTTGGGGCTGCAGCACTAAGCAGCAGAAGCCCGTGCAGCACCCCCTCCCTGCCAGCACAGCCCCGTCCAGCCCTGAAAACAGGTATTTTTTAACACCACTTCAAGGACTCATCCGTCAGTCTTCATTACAGCCTGGATGCTCGCTGAGAACACAGTGAGCACGCTTCCTTTCTCCAAAAGTGAACATTTTAATTGCGATTTAATTCTCTAACGCTTAAGCTTCGTATTTGGAAACACCTCATTGAAAAAAAAACCCCAGGTACCTCTTGGGAGGGCTGCAGTCCCCAGACACAGAACTGGCGCACAGAAGAATCATTTTCTCAAAGACTCCAGCACTTGGGTGTCAGAGAAAACGTGTTATTCCCAAGGACATTTAGCACTTTCTCCTTTAAACAGCTGCACACAACTGCCTGTGTAAATGTCACTGGTATCCATTTAATTTGATGAACAGCAAGACACTGCTCTTGTAGGAACGTATGTCCAAAAATAACAATTCTTGAGATATGTTTCAAATTTAAACAGTTATCTTGTCATTTCAAGCAGCTGCACCGCTAAGGAACAGACATTAAACGCGCCTATTAACTGTATCTTGGTTTACTCTAAAAGAAAGAGTTTTAAGGCTTGGGAACATCTGGAATAATTGTGGCATTTAATATAAGCTACAGTTCTCTCCTCAGAGAGAAAGTTTAGGGTACAGGCTTGGTTTTGCCTGTGGGAGGTCTCAAGGAAGGGTTCCCTCTTCGGCTGCAGCCGCCCTCGCTGCGAGCAGGGGCAGCCTGGCCTGACTGGGCTACGCCGCTGGGCGTGCAGCGGCCCGCTCTCCACAGCCGGGGAGCTCCAGACTCCCAGGGAGATAAGAGCCATCCTCTTTGCTCCCAGAAGGAAGAGATGATGTTTCAGCAGCCTGGAGAGAAACTGCCTCCTGCCGATTACCAGCCCCTGGTCCGTCAGCTCTCATCTGCGAGCAGGACACCCGCATGCTTACACAACACAGCTGCACGCACCGCGCAAGACACGAGTAATGTTTTCCTCAGTCAGGCACGGGAAATTAACTGCCCATC